GCAGCCCTGGTCAGTCCTAGCAGGATGTGGGGCTGGAGGCAGCGGCAGGCAGTATGGAGCACAGCCCCAGCCGGGAGCAGAGCCTGCAGCTGGTTAGGGAGCCTGGACCTCCCCGCATGTGGAAAACTCTGTTGTTCGAGCCCACTCAAGTCCCAAGGGAAGTCTGACCTATAGAATGAAAGAGTTGTTCAGTTGCCTCTGTTTGTAGATCATGGAGACAGTAAATCAGAAGAGATTTTATATGCGGTTAAAAATCAAACAAAAAAGGGAGAACCAGACCTTGCTCTGATCTGACAATGCATAAATAACTGTCCAAGATACAATATCATTTAAATAGTTCTCCTGAGATGAAATAAGGTAAATAAACTGAACAGAAATCTGTCAGCAAAAAGTTCTGTCTTCTTTCATTTTAGTACTAATTTGCTTTCCCTCGTTTAACCTTCTCTCCCTTACATACACATTATACAACTTCTAAAAAAAATTCAACAAACAGAGGCAAAGTAATGTAATACTGAGCAAGATTTTTTCATAGTGTGGACTACATCTTATTGAACAGAGAGCCTGCTTTGCAGATACTGCTTCTTTCATTTGCACTCATCTCAGATCACTATGGCAACTAAAGCAATTGCTTGCCTGGAAAAGCAATAGTAAGCCCATGCAACCTTAATTTGGCCCCCTTGTGTGTCTGCATTATAATGCTGTCTTTAATTACCATGATCACCTGCTGCTATTTTTTCCATAGGACCCCTGCTTCAGTCATTGCACATTTTGGCTAATGCTCACTGAATGAGCAGCTATTACATATATGATTTTATCTTTATAATTCCATGTGTGGCCTCACACATTTATTCACTGCTCTGAATACAGAATGCCCACTTTCTCGTGAGCTTTTTATGGTGCTTATGCTGTAGTATCTGAGTGCTTCACAAACAATTAATTCATCTTGATAATACCCTGTGAGGTGAGAGGGGTGGTGTTACAGATGGGGAAATGAAGTAGAGAGTTTAAGGTCAAAAGTTTTCACTAATTTTGGGTGCCCAATTTAAGAGGCCTGTTTTTTTCCAGTATTCAGCATTATACAGTAAACTTCCGATAATCCAGCACCTTTAGGACCCAGGGAGTGCCAGATTATCAGATTTTCCAGACTATCGGAAGGGGGGGCTATGAGGGGCCTGGGGTGGGGTGGGATGCCACCCCAGACCCATCATAGCCCCCCCTTCTGATAGTCCGGCTCTGCCCCAGGCATCCCCGATTCAGCCGCTGCTGGTCAGTTTCAGCAGCAGGTGGATCAGGGACGCCTGTGGCAGGGCGG